TGGAGGCGACTATTGAGAAGGAGTTGGCGAGGGCTGAGAAGCCGGCTGTGTAGATTGGGGTGGTAGTGTTTGTGGTGTTTGATCGTGGGTTTTTCTCAGGACGGTGGTTAAGGGATAAAGACTCAATGCGTTATTTTATTGGAGTCGTGATAGGGGAAGACATGGGCAAGGTTAGGCTACAGTACGATTTTTGGTATGGAATAGCCATGGATCAATGTCAGAAGGGTTCATTAAGCATCAATTAATTGTACCGATTAGTCAAATGGTATCCTACGGAGACTTTCACCACCTCTACGCTTCTCCTCTCCAGCTGCACCCAGGCTACTGGGAACTTTAATACCACAGCAGTCATCCCAAGTCTGGCCAGACTCGTGCGCATGATCGTGATCATGCTCGATATCATGAGACTCTGCGTCCTCACTCATGCCCTTCGCCGCCGGAATCATAGACCCAAATAGAAAATGCTGCATGACCGGAAGCTTCCCAAGAACCTCTTTAACGAACATTTTCTTCATTCCTGCCTCGATCTTTGTCCAGCTTTTGGCAGCCGAGATATCGTCTAGCATTGGGCTATGCCACCTTAATCCTTCGACATTCTTGACGCTGTTGACGAAAGCTACTTGATCAAGATAGAGGAAGTCTTTGCTGCATTCTTCGAGTGTTGCTGCGTTGTGGATTGATTTGGGCGTTATATAGCGGTGCTGAGCTAGCTGTGCCGCTCCAAATAGGAATGGTAGAAATTGGTAATCATCTAATCCCCACACTCCGTGGGAGCCGGCGGGTTCCAGGTAGTATGTCATTTGTATTGATCGCATCAGCTGGAGATATTGTGGGAATACAACTAACGCAAGGGCCGGGAATGTACTTTTTGGGAGGAGAGATAGTCGATTTAGGCAGAGAAGCCACAGAAAGAAGTTGAGTTCGTGTCCGCTTCCGTAGTCAATGCGATCCGCACTCCCGAATGAATGCTCGAGATAGGTACTGGCCTCTTGTATCGCAGCGGCAGGCACGCCCAGTTTTTTGTGCCATTGTTCCAGCTTTTTCGATACCGAGTCAAGATAGGATCGGAAGATTGGGTTGCCAAATCGTGAGCCTGTGTCTAAAGCTGGGTGCTCTTTTAGAAGGGCTTTCGCATCGTTCAATATCTCTAGTATCGAAGTCACCACTTCTTCTCGCTCTTCGGTAGCTACAGCGCGCGTAGTCTTGTTTCTCACGGCATCGGATATGCCAAATATGAATGCGAGTATGAGAGAGTATGTGGGCGACTTTTGGAAGAGCTCTAGATCACGAGGGGACAAAATTCGACGAGTTGGGTTTTGAAAAGAGGCCGCGTCCAGAGACACAGGTTCAGGAAGAGACGGGGTCTCTGGAGCTGGTTCTAATGGCTGTGATTGCTCTGAAGGATTTCGTCGACGCGGTATTAGAGGTGGAAGTCGATTTGAGAGATCTGGAGGATTGGAGGGAATAGGAGAGGCGGTCATTTTGAAGTTTCGCGTCGTAACAAGGCGAAATCCGCGTATTCCGTTGGATAATGCCACTGACTGATGTGTGTGTTTTACAGGTATAGATTGAAGAGTATTTGAACGAAGGGATGAAGTTGGAAATAGGTATCTTGGTTCTGGTAAGAGTACCTGTTTTCAGATGGCAAGAACGACGGGAAGCTTTCACGTGGCGGGGCAGTTCTCGAAATGTGGCTGAAAAACGTGCCCCGCGCGCTTAAGCTCGGCCGAGTCAACCGCTGATGTTTCAACTTCTCATCTCATGCCGCGCGAAACTCATCGAGTTCGCGATATATGAGACATGTCTAGACTTCTCTTGTCTTTCATTTTCTTCTCGTCTATACACCCTTCATAATGATACGAAACCACGTCGACGGGGCATCTGGGTCTTTGCGCGACGTATGTTTGGAGTTGAAGGAGAAGGTGGATGCATTTCTGGCAAAGAAGCAAGAGACGGATCTGTTGAGGGATGTACAGGCGCAATTGCGCGTCGCAATAGGCGTTGTTGACGAAGCATTAACGACGTTCGAGTATGTCTTACGTCTATGCAACTAAACGGATGGCTGATTTTGGTGCACAGACCTGAGCACATCTCAATATCGTACAACGGTGGAAAGGACTGTATGTTGCGCATATCCGAGTAATGTCTCCTACTATTTGCATGTACTAACGCAAGCGAAAGGTCTCGTTCTCCTCATAGTAATACTTTCCTGCCTTGCGCCACGCTTTCCGCCTTCTACCTCTGCAACGACGACGCTCACAAATGGAACGAGCAAGCCTTCTACTTTCCCCGAAAAGCTACAAGCCGTTTACATTGTTACCGCGGACCCTTTCTCGGAAGTCGACGATTTTGTTGTTTCATCTAGCGCAACCTATCATCTAAACGTGTCACGATATACTTGTTCAATAAAAGAAGGCCTAGAGGCATACCTACAGGACCGGCCAAATGTGAAAGCCATATTTATAGGGACGAGGAGGACCGATCCACATGGAGAGAATTTAAAGCACTTTGACCCAACTTCTGCTGGATGGCCAGATATTATGCGAGTGCATCCAGTTATTGATTGGCATTATGGTACGTGCCCGTGCAACTACAATCTGCTCCAAAGAGGCTCGAAGGCTTTTAAGCGTTCTTTTTAGGCTCTTACTAACTCTCAAACTTTAATAGCGGAGATATGGGCAGTAAGTCTTGATACTTATGTTTCCAAGATTCCTTTAACATTGTATCAGTTCATAAGATCGCTTGATATTGATTATTGTCCTCTATATGATCAGGTTAGTTTGACCAAATACGAGAACGAACTATGTCTAAACTATTCAAGGGTTATACAAGTCTAGGTGGAACTCGAGATACTCATCCGAATCCTGTTTTGCAAAAGCAGTCCGACAGTGGACAGGCATTCCGACCTGCCTACGAACTAACAGAAGACGATCAGGAGCGATTAGGCCGGGACCGGTGACCACTCACCAGGCAGTCAAATCACATTTGGCATCTGCATCAAAACGGAGTTTATTTTATAGACTAGATCAACGACACCTACCACGATTGCATTTTGGGGATTCATATATTGAATTAAGTATTGGAACTAAACTTACATAGAATTCGAACAGCATGGATACCTTTGAGTCTCATTTTTTAGCAGCTAACCACCGTTGGTAGCACACGTCCATCGAGATATACCACAATTTCAGATTTCCGTTACTCTAGCCTCTATGTTCTCTAAGAATGGTAATATCTCCGACTTCCATCTCTTCTGGAAAACCTCAGCCTTCTCATTTCCAAGCATAGGATTATTCCTGACAGCCAATCCGATTAGTCCCATCTGACATTGTCTCAAAAGATAAGAAAACTCACATCATAATCCGACTGTTCATGAGGAATCTGCCATGCGCCTCGGGGCCAAGATTCGGCTCGACAGCATGCACCAAAGTCCTTGCACCAACATCTGTATTTCGAGCCATGCCATTCAGCAGCGCTATAATCGGGACTTGCCACCATGCTCTCTTGTCGCGCGTGAAGATGTCAGACTTGGTGGCGCCAGGCGTGACGGCATCAATGAGAACATTTGATCCAGAGCCAGGTACGACGGGACTTTGCGATGCCATGGTGTGCATGGAGTAGAAAAGAAGTGCTTTTGACAATGCGTATCTGCTTACTTGTCAGAGGCTGCTCATTCGTTCAGGGCGGGAAGACAAACCGATCACCAAATTTGCTTGATTGCTTTGGGTCGTTGAAAGCATCCATCAACGAGCCGGAGACAGTCTGGTTTTGGATACCAGAGATGAACATAGCGTCTGAACCGTTGAAGGAAAATCGTCCCATCAAACCCGTCTTAGCGGCGCTTTCTCTCAGCTTTGGAAGGATTGCATAAGCGAAATACACAGCATTCAGCGTGTTCACCTTCAAGGTCAACTCCATGCCATCGCTCATATTCCATTCGTTTGGCGGAAAAATGCCCGCATTCTGGACAACCACATCCAACCGTTCTAGGTTCCTTGCTCTCTCCACAAATCCGCGAACAGATTTTGAGCTTGCGAGATCAAACTCCCAAACTTCAAGGCGGGATGGATCGCATTTCGTTTCTTTGATGATTATTAAAATTGCGGCGTCGCCTTTCGCTGTCGTTCGAACCGCGAGTATTATCTTGGCGGCATTGAGCCGGATGAAATGTTTGACGGCCTCATAACCTATGCCGGTATTGGATCCAGTGACAATAACAGTCTGATTGGCGAAAGAAGCTGTAGGTAGCGGTGGTTTTACAAAGAATTGTGAGTAGAGTACGTTTCCGAGGAACTGAAAGGCGTTCATTTTTCGATTTTCCTACGTTTTCCTGAGGACTTTTCAACAATCTTTCAATCTGATTTTGCAGTTGCAGCGAATGCCGGAGTTTTTGAAGAATCTAGCCTTATGGATGGCAAGTGTTAGCCATGTGATTTATGCGATGGCTGAGCTCACTCATACCCTTAAGCGGATGAATTAACTGTCCGATTTCAGATACTAGAGTAGTCCCACCACAATTTACGCAAGAACTCCTGAAAAACCAACGAATAACTATGCAATAGGTTTTCTACAGAGCGCCTCATTTTCGATTGTGAAGGCGCTGATTGACAATCAGCTCTGATCAAGCACTAAATGATGGGCAAACCCTCCACCCACTAATCTTCATACACTAGTTACTGTACTTAGTAGATGTACTAGTACTATGTAGCAATACAATTACATTTTCTCACCGCCTGCTCGTGAAGGATACAAGTCCATTAGATGTCGTTTCCTGAAGATCTGTGAATTTGGTATAAATCTCGAAATAAATACCATTGTTAGATGACCTTTTGTTGAAGGAAAGCGCAGATTATGGAAGCCAGTCGGGGTCGTGAAAATTTGATGATATAATCAAAAAAACGAAATTATGCTTGAATGTTTTTACATTTTTCTATGGACAAAATTCATGAAATAATGTCTGTTTTTCATCTTTGATGACTGTACAGGCGCTAACCTCAAAAGTCAACGTGCCAGAGTGGTTAATGGGATAGACTCGAATTATAATTTGGTTATCTATTGGCTTCGGCCGCACAGGTTCAAATCCTGTCGTTGACGATTTTTTTTGGCCTCGATGGGGACTGATTTATTGAACACAAGTTTAGTGATGATGGGCACAGTCATCAATATTTTTTTGAGATGGATTTCTTTGAGACTTCCTTTCCTAAACCTCTATTGTCTAACGGCGACCGCAATTGTATACGGTACAATGAAGAATTATTTGCAAAATTCTCTTGGTGCAGAAAGTGTTTATTTACCCAAAGCATCGAAAGAACTGATCTTATCAGGAAAAGTATAGGAATCGTGATATTACGGTGACCTTGCCTTTTATTGTGTGTACTATTCTTGAGCGCACCACTAACAGTCTAACATTGAAACTTATTTATATAGTGTATACAATATTTCCAACCAAGATTATTTCAAAGCCTCCACATAAAGAAACGTGTAGAGATTAGTCGGTAAGTCTATTATTTTGTGGGTGCAAACATGTATCTGGCTGCGTTAGCACGAAGTCCATAGCATACTCAGATGCCAGCATTGATTGATGATATGCTTAAATGCCTTCCTATAGCAATCGACATAACAGCACTTAATCACACCATCAATCGATGCGCGCGTCAACTGCTCGAAGCAACAATGAAATACTTACGTCATGAGAGCCATTTGCTCTCCCATACCGCTTCCATGAGAGTGCTGGCGACTGTTCATGTCAGATCAAGCAATGGAATCTGCGAAAACCGATAGTGTACTTACGACTTATGGGCAGCAAGATCAAAGTTTCCCGTCACTGTCAAAAAGTCGCCAACTTTGACTTGAACTGGATCTAAGCATGGCTCCATGCGACTGATTGTCTCCCAGGTTTCGCCGTTGATAGTAGCAGTCCCCAACTCGCCACCGTAATGGGCAGTGCTTATGCAAACCGGTTTGTCATTAAGTCTGAGCTCAACACTTTCTCCTCCATCATGCATGTGGCCTCGTCGAAACAAAATATATCCATTCTGAGCAACCTCTACTTTTTTGCTGGTGACCGACCATTTCTTCTGTCCGGGTGGGGCAACAAGGTCTGGTTTGGCTGGGTTGCACATGTTGATATCGAACTGGAAGAAGTTGGTATCTAGAGCGTCGCTCGTGACGTTCTGAAACTCGAGCTCTGATTGCAAATAGACGGTTTTGGTGGCATTGTTGTAATTGACAAGCTCGGCACTAACAATCACTGTATCGTTGGCTCCAACAATGAAGCCGGTAGTCAAATTCTTGGACGATGAGAATATCATATCCTTGTTGGCTTCACTAGCACCCATCAATAAACCCATGTTCTTCGGAGTCGTATTGTTGGCGCCCCCGTCGATACATTTGAGAGGACTGGGTCCCATCTTGTTGGCATCGGCCACGATGAAATGATGATTGTAGAGACCATTGGCAATATCAGCTGGGGAGCCATCTTCGTTTATAAAAGAGCTGTTGGTTTGTAGCACAACGATGTTCTTGGGTATTCCTGTCAATGGTCCTTTGAATACATCCGAGTTGGGGTCTAGAATCACGAATCAGATAAGCTGGTTTGTCTTCTGCTTGAGCATCACAGGAAAGACCTTGAGTGTTTCAAAGCATTGGGAGATATGTCTTACCCATTTGTCCTTCATACATTTGTCGTTTATAGCCGCTGGGATTTAGTTTGAATGGTCCTATAGTATAGCGAACTCTCTTCACACCAGGACGAGTATCCTGTGGCTTCAAAGTTTCAGCTTTCACTGGACTCCAAACGCTCGAGGGTGCCTGAGGAAGCGCACTGGTGCTCATGGGCGAAGAACCATGGCCATCGTGCTGTCTAGGTCCTGCTTCACATTAGTGTCCTGGATAACTCACTCCTATTTTCAAGTCAAGAGCATAACACCTACTTAGTACAGCGGGTGAAGCCGAAACCAACCCCACAAGAAAAATGAAAGATCTCATTATATTGAAGGTCAAAATATGCATGTATAGAAAGCAAATCGATTCGTGCTATCAGTCAAAAAGAGAACGTTACCAGACGACGTCTTTAAGTGTCTTAATAGCCAAGCTATGATGAAGCTTTACAGTTCAACTATCTCGAATTGTGTGTCTGTTAACCGGGCACTACCTAGGAAATAATATATATAACTGATCACTAGCCTTCAATCTGGTTATTTCGAGCGATTTAAGACGGCCAAGCATATCACTTAGACAGGTATCCTCCAATCAAATGAACTTGACTTATACCTGTTATTCAAATAAACTTTATTTCTTGAACTAAAAGTCATAACGCATGTGGTGGTACTCTTTCTGATTGAGTTTGAACCGGGTAAACTGGCAAAAAGGGTCCATTCCAATTTCTCCTCGCAGAACCCGCTCGCTCCGAAGAGACGTGTAATCAAACCCTAATCAGGTACCAAGAAGGTGGAAAGCGAGTCCGAAAGCGATGGAATTTCGGATAAACTTAATCTCAAACCGCAGCCGAGTTTTCGAGTTTTCGGCAACTAACTAATTTGGCAGGTATATGTCAAGGTTGTTGGATGAAGCAGCATTCGAATATACAATTACTTGTCTTCAGTTATCTCGACGGAGGGCAAGAAGGCTGGCAATTGTGCCATAAAACTTGGCTCTAATATCTAGTGTATTCTTCCCCCCAAAGAAGATTTTTCATTTCGGTTGTCTGCTAGATTTGAGAATGCCTTGACATCGACATAAGTCTAGAACGATGAAGACTGTAGTCGTCGTCTGCTATATGACAAAGTATCTTCAATGTTTCTCTGCAGCATAATGGAACATCATGTGCCAGAGCATCCGTTATACTATAAGCTGACACGATCCGAAAATGATCTTCCATCATTCTAGGTTCACGGAGAGCAATTTAATCATGTACATGTACAGATTACATGATTGGTGCTTTCGACTTCCATGATTCGCGGCCACGCAAAGTCCTACGCTGCGATACATTATTGGTTGATAGCCGATGGGCATCATGTGTTTGGGGCTTCTATGCCATGTGTGGTATAGGAACGAATGCGAACTAGTATATGGCATATAGCTCTTATGACAGGGTTAGATTCAAGCACTCTATACCAGCCAGCTATCTTTCAAGAAGCATTCATAGAGTTATGGATTAACACCAGGATTTGGTCCGCGTCGATATGCAGATCCCACAGACTTGTGGCGTGAATCCTGATCATATAAGATATAAACAGTCGATTATAGAATCTGTTCAGGTTTCGAAACTATCCACCTCATCTCAAGTCACGATGCTTACCCGGTATAATCATTTTGTTTTAGCAGCGTTCTTTGCCTCTATATCGGCAGCGCCCACTCCCAGCGCCAAACAAGCATGCGAAGCCATCAAGAAGGCTGTGCCTTCCAAGCTGTTTTACCCCAGTGACAAGAGCTACACCACAGAGAACACAAACTATTATAACATTGGACTCGCAGAGTTGATGCCGGCATGCATATTCCAGCCAACGACCGCACAAGAAGTCTCTACGGCGGTAAAGATTCTGAACTCGACTCCCGATGTGAAGTTTGCCGTTAAGAGCGGTGGTCATGACCCTAATGCTGGACATTCGAGCGTCAAAGACGGTGTTCTTATTGCGTTGAGTCAGATGCAGTTCACTAGACTATCATCCGACAAGAAGACCGCGGAGTTCGGGCCTGGGGGACACTGGAATGATATCCAGAGAAAACTAGATCCATTGGGAGCTGCTGTCGTTGGAGGTCGTCTTGGTATGTCAACTTACTCTCTGTATCTATCCGGACTTTCACTGATAGCTTAGGCTTTGTTGGTGTGGGTGGCTATATGATGCAAGGCGGTTTTTCCTTTTTGAGTGGTCAATATGGCATGGCAGCTGATGTAAGTCTACAATTAGAACTTGCACTCGGTTCACTAATCAGGTGTAGCAAGTTCAAGAGTGGGAGATGGTATTACCAAATGCCACCATTGCAAACATCAAAGCTTCAGATCATAAGCTTTTGACTGAAGCTCTTCGAGGAAGTGGCGATCAGTTCGGCATTACCACCAAGTTTACCACTCAGGCCTATCCAATGGGAAAAGTCTGGGGCGGTATAAGAATTTTCTTGGGCAGCCAAAAGGACGCACTTTACGAAGCTCTCCAGGACTTCACAGCTAATCCTCCAAACAACGGAAAGTCTGCCGTGATTTTCACGCACACACAGCCACTTGGACTGCTCAATGTTTACGCGCTGTTCTTCTTCCACGATGGCCCAACGCCAGCTAAGGGGGCATTTGGAAAGTTTGATGATATCAAGCCTACGATTGACTTGTGTCAAGTTAGAACATATCTTGAAATGGTAAGTATGCTCCTAAAAAGTCTCAGAAAGTTACTGATATCGCTAGTTGGACGTAGCAGGATCACTGATGGGAAGTCCTACCCCAGCTACGGCTGGTGTTGCTCCAGGGCTTGGAGGCTTCTCGATGGAATCATTGTTTGGTGGTACTATGACTGCTAAAGCCGGATCGGGGAAAGCTGGGTCAGGTAAAGCAAGTTCAGGAAGCTCGCCATTGAGCTCTGTAGCAGGTGCTTTAGGAACAACCGTCGGAATCGTAGAATCAGTAATCGGCGGTCTCACTGGTATTGGCAAAACAGGTTCTGGAAAAGCTAGCCCCCCCAAAGTCAGCCCAAGTCCGGCACCTGTTGCTGCTCCAAAGGCTGTGGCAGCTGGACCTCCAGGCTCTCCAGTACCGGTCTCGAGAACCTCATTTCGGGTGAATATGAGCAGTCAGCTCCAACTTGGAGAAGGAGAGCTAACAGATTAATAGAGCCTGACACTTCCTTTGGTTGACACGAAATTCTTCATGGATATCCAAGAACTATGGACCAATGTCACCAGTGAATTTTCTGCAAAGCACGGCAGCGTCACAGCTACCATTGCATTCCAGCCTTTTCCACGCACCATCGGCAAACTTTCGGTGGCCAGAGGAGGAAACGCGATGGGATTGACGGCAAATGACGAGCCCAGATTCATCATCGAGATGGCATACCTATGGGTATATTTTTGACTGCTATAAATCCGCTGGCCATATCAAAATACTT